TTATATATATATATATATATGTGCCTAAATGGAGACTGAATACTGCTTGGAGAGCTAGGTGCCTAAAATTGAATGCTTGATGTTGCCTTAATGCATCTGTCCTGAAAAAGTTGAGCTTCTGTTCGGATGCTTTTAAATATTTAGCACTTACTCAGGTGTAATCAATGGATAAGTATGACCATATTTTTACTTCTAAGCATAGTAAAAATATCAGATTCTTTTAGTATATTTGCAAATGTGTGCATGATGGATGATGCATTATTTTAATAGTGTGAAACACACTGCCCAGGTAATGCTCTTTGAGAAGTTCTGTTAAGAAATGTGTACTTCTTCCTGATTTCACCTTGCCTGTTCTGTAATTCATAGTTCATCAGGCTTTTCCTGATTAAAACTTGGCAGTAACCTTTTAAATTATGACTTAAACCTTAATTCTAGAAACTGGTGCCTTTTTGTATTTTTCCTTAACTTTTTTTCTTTCTAAAAAAATCCATAGGCTTTGATCTTGTTTGAAGAAACTTGCAATACATAGTTAGCAATTTAATACAGTTTAACAATTCTAAATCTTGGGGTCTAATTTGGAGGAATGTCTTTGGAAATCTATTTGTTATCTGAATTTGAAGGCAAAAGCCTTTTAAAATGATACATGAAGCTTAGCATTGGATGAAAGCTGTACTGAGACTTATGTGTAGGGGTGGGTTTTCTCCAATTTTTTAACCTACATTTAAATTTTTTACCTACATTTTTTTAAATTTAGGTCAACAGATTACTTTCATACCTTTTCTATTGGGCTGTAGGTCATTTGGCTCTGGATTAGGGGGAGTCTCATGTGCCTACCCATCACTGCTTTTCAAATAAGTGCTCTAATTTTGAGCACTTAGAATCATAGAATCACTTCTGCCTGTGTATTTCACTGTTGTCTCCATGGTAAATTTTGGTACCATTTAATTCCAAGGTAGCGTCATGAGTATGTTAAATTTAACTTTTATGTAAATCGTAGACGTACTACAAGCTTACAGCTTTACCTTGTGTCGTGGTTTAACCCCAGCTAGCAACCAAGCACCGCACAGCTGCTTGCTCACTCCCTGCTTCCAGCGGGATGGGGGAGAGAATCTGAAGAGCAGAAGTAAGAAAACTTGTGGGTTGAGATAAGAACAGTTAATGATTGAAATAATATATAATTAAAAAAAATTCTAATGAAAAGGAAAACAACAAAAAAAGAGAGGCAAACAAAACCCAGGAAAAACAAGTGATGCAGCTGCTCACCACCCACTGACTGATGCCCAGCCAGTCCCTGAGCAGTGATTGCTGCCCCCCGGCCAGCTCTCCTCCAGTTTATGTACTGAGCATGACATCATATGATATGGAATAGCCCTTTGGGCAGTTTGGGTCAGCTGTCCTGGCTGTGCCCCCTCCCAGCTTCTTGTGCACCTGGCAGAGCATGGGAAGCTGAAAAGTCCTTGACTAGCATAAGCAGTACTTAGCAACAACTAAAACATCAGTGTGTTATCAGCATTCTTCTTGTGCTAAATCCAAAGCACAGTGCTATGCCAGCTACTAGGAGGAAAATTAACTCTATCCCAGCTGGAACCAGGACACCCTGTGAATGTTTAAGTGGTTCATTTTGTTCATCTGAATACATCTATTAATTTCAGTGGGACTACTCATAATAGAAAACTGTAGTTTGTGTTTTTGTTCACTATATTACTAATCTGTTGGGGACTAAAACGCAAGTGATTTACAAAAGTGCATTTACTTGATTTATATTGTAAATAAAATGATGTGTTCCTGTTTAGATTAATAAACTTTCTCTGTTTCTAAGTGAAGATTTATTTTCTTCCTTGTAGGTGATAGCAGCTGCCAAAAGGGGATTCAAAGCTGTTGGTTATGAATTAAATCCCTGGCTAGTCTGGTACTCCAGATACCGTGCCTGGAGAGATGGGGTACATTGGAACACCAAATTTTATATTTCGGATTTATGGAAGGTAGGTGGTGAAGTACGTAAGAATGACTCTGGGATGTTTGAGAGATTTCCATAATTTGGAAATACTTTCTTGAAAGAACCAGAATGCTGACTGGCTGCAAGGTGCTGTATTGGGCTTTGAGAAAAGTACTTGAGCCCATAGAACCTAGACTCAACAGCACAACACCGTGCTCAGCTGGTTTTGTGCTTCAGTGAAGTGCTGTCCTTTTTCAGTACAGGCTCCTCGAGCATGCTGTGCCATGCTTGTGTCTGAGGAATGATTGGGGGTGCTGTAATGTCAGGCTTCACTGAGAGCTGGTTCTATGGAGTCAGTAACAAGACTCTTACCTAATGTGCAAGATCAAAATCTCATCTGACACTTCATTAGACGTGTTCTTTTTCTAGCTGTGCAATGTGTTGCCTGGTTTTGAGTGTTGCTCTAAGGTAACTTACATATACGTGACTGAGATTTTTTTCACAATTTTCAATCATTTGAGTCACAATTGCCTCTTTAATGAGGTGTACTTTTTTGGGTCACATTTATGTGAATACCAGGAATTTTGGGGAAAAGTGTGAATGTACTATTTTTATCTTTGTTCAGAGAGGAGCATAGGAAAACTTCATGGGATTGACTGGAAGAACCCAGGCACTGGAATGCCTGGCAAGTTTTTACAGCTAGCTAACACTTATCAAAAGTGGGGGCAAACTTAAAACATACATCATTTTAACATATACAGGAGTTGTGGAAAAACTTAACCATGAGTAAAATCGTGTAGGTGTTTTCTAAAGTAATGCTTTGTGTGCTACTAGAATTGGTGCCATATTCTTGGCCAGGCAGTAGAAGTTTTTTGCTGTTCAGCTATATAAAGTTGTCTTTATGTGAAAATTTTTGTGAGAAAAAGTTGATACAGGATCTCTTTTCCTATTTTTGGTCTAAACCCCTGTTGAAAGGAGTGCAGCTAGAGGGAGGGAAAAGAATGGTGAGAACTTCTCCAAATACGAATGGCATTTCATTAAGATTTGTTCTCAAATTTTATTTTTAGGTTTCTTTTTCCCATTACACAAATGTTGTTGTTTTTGGGGTACCTCAAATGGTAAGTTCACTATTTTTGCATTGTTTAATTATTTTAATACCAAGGCATTTAATGTTAGTACATTCATCTGCAAAATGAACCAGCCTGCAGAATGTCAAAGGTAGTTAGTATTAGTATTTTGATATTTCGTTGTTGCTTATTAATTTCCATGATAAAACCTGGTAAAACTTGTGATAGTATGCAGACTGGAGCTCTGAAAATACACTTTTTTGAGAAGTATTTGCTGTCCATCAGTTCAGAACCAAAATGAAAACTGCTGTGCTCAAGTTGCTTGGGGGGAAGGTGATAGATTGGTTCTTGAAAATTGCAGTTTTTCATACTGAAAAAACAAGGAATGTGCAGGGAGAGGATGGAGTAGGAAATTGTCTACAGCTGATTTTTGGGAACCTTTAGAGAAGAGTGTTGAACTTTGCTTATGTTCTTCTCCAAAAACCAGATCACTTCAAATAGGCCAGCAGCTGGTATACTGAAATAATCCCTTGCCCGTGTTAGACTGTGAGGGTTTAGGAAGGGAGACAAATACTTCAAGTATAATTGCTAGAGTACCAGTACACAAATTATTTGCCTTTTAGGGAGGCTTTGTAGCCTATGTTCATCGTGCCCCTGGGGAAAATTGCATTCGTCAAAACTGGTGTAGAAATTGAGTTGCATAGTGACTGCTTTAGTGATACATTCAATAAACTCAGTCAGACGTTACATTCACTTTGGCTTTTGGCTTGATCTAGTTTTCTTTTTCTCTTCTTACTAGAAAAGAGGAAAAAAAATCTTAACTGTATAAATATTCTTGGTATTTTGATTTATAAATGGAATCTTCTATATAGGTTGAATGCATATGGAGGTGTGAAATAGCATATAAATGCTTCTGTATTGCTTCTTCCTCTGCTAAGGCAGATGTGGGATGAAATGGTGAAGATCTTTGTGATGCTATACTATACAACATACACTGATAATATTTCTGTAGTAGTAACAGGAAGATGCAACGAGAAGCATAATAAAGCTTCTCTATCCTTTGCTTTTTCTTTAACAGCATTGGAATTAAATACCTACTTCAGATACAAATTCCAACTCATGTTGGAAACTGAAGTGAAAATGCAGTTTCCCCCCCTCCCCCCCACTTTTGTGGGTGGCATATTAGTGAGAACTATGATGTTACTTGTGCTACAGATGTTGCCAGGTTTGGAAGTTATGTGCTCCCTAGCTTGAGTTCCGGGAGGGGGCAGTATCAATATTTGAATTTGCAGTCAGAAATTCCGCAGTTGCACTGAGGGGAAAAGTGCAGGTAAAGAAAGATATTTCAGTAAACTAGAAATAAATAAATGCCCTGGGAAAAAGTGAGTAAACCTAGCAGAAATACTGGCTTAACTTTAAATGTAATAGTATAAAGTGGGATAAATTAGTAACAGCTATGATAGAAAGAGTAGCTATAGGGCTGGGAATAACTTCAGTAAATTCAGTAAATACTGGGCTAAATTCTTCCAATAAAAATACTGTCATAAATGTAACAGATCCAAACATATGAAATACTGTGTTTCCTGAGCAGTCGTTTGCTCATGATCCCCTTTAAATTTACTTCAGAAGCTGCGAATGCTTAGCCTCCTGAATGACTAAATTGATTTTCTAGAAACTTTAACGCATTTTCTTTTTTACTGAGGGCAATAGATCTCTTAACTTTTTTAATAATACTGGTCTGATTTGATGTTGTCACATAGTGCTTTTATTTCATACCCAAGATTAGCTTACAGAACTTTGATTTATTGATCTTCAGGGAAGACTAAGACCTCTCTGTTCTTGCAAGCATCTGGGGGAAGGTGTGTTTAACTATAAGTCATTGCAGAGAGACTTTTACTTGTTCAGGGTGGCATGACAGAATTCTTACCAGGTGTTCATGTTCACAGCTTTTGTGTATTTTTAGTGATTATATACTGTACAAAAGGTTTACTAAACTGTATATCTGTGTAGACATAGCAAAAAAATCCAACCCTGGCTTGATGTAAAATGCAGTATGATTATAACACCTCATGCTACTGAGATATTTAGCTTAAAACTAGTTTGACTGTTTGGTTCAAGGATACAATTCTTTTTGGCTGAACTACTAAAGAAGTTTTCTCATTTGAGCTAATACAGACATGAGATGTCACTAATTTTCATAACTGCTCATTAAAAATTAGGCTATGTCTGTATGTGTTATTTCTATTACAACTTAGTCCTTCCTTTTCTGGTGTCTTAGCTTAGTTTGAGATACCACAGTGGGCTTATTTTTCTAGTTTATTTAAAGTTCCGGTAGCAAAAATGTTTAAAAGCATTTGCTGTATGGATGAAGTCAGAGCACAGAATGCTTAAAAATATTCAGAGGTAACTCTTTGATATATTAGATCTATGACTATAATTTTCCTAAAATATTCCATTGTAAGCTTAAATGTAGCTCTAGTAGGATGTTACATCAAAGGCACACCCTGCACTTATGTGATAGTGGAAGCTATCAGCAGCCTTTGAAAATACATTTTCTTCAGTCAGTCTTGTTTTCTAATAATGTTCTGTTGTGGGTTTTTTCTTTTTCTGTGAATTTTTTATACATTTTGTGTCCTTCATGGCTTAAATTGGGCTGTATTTGTGAATAATTACTATCCTTTTAACCTTTTAATATCTAAATGTTATGTCATGATATCGAAGTAAATAGATTTTTACATGTAATAGAAGTAACCTGTGGAGCTTGCTGTTACAATTACTCCCTGAGATAGATACAGTATGTAAGAATAAATGGAATTCCAAATGGATGTGCACTGATCTGCTTAAGCATAACTTCAAACTTTTCTAAAGGACAAAAATGGCTAAATCTATCAAGTTTCTTTTTTTCCAGAACATAATCATTGTCTGGGATGGGAAAGAAATTTCTTTGAAGTCTAGATATGTTAATTCATTTCTCACTTAATCCATAGCAGAATTTGCAAAGTACTTATTGGAAAGAGACTATTTGACTGGGCAGGGTGGTGTTCTGTTCTGGAAGAGTAGTGGTATTTCCTTTGACTTTCATACCTGCTCAGTTTTTGTGCGTGGAGGAAAACTATACTGTAGGTCTTCAACCAAGGAGAGTTGCATAGTGGTATTTGACACGGTCCCCCACAACATCCTTCTCTCTACATTGGAGGGATATGGATTTGATGGATGGACTATTTGGTGGATAAGGAATGAGCTGGATGGTCACATCCAGAGAGTAGTGGTCAACAGTTCAGTGTCCAGATGGAGATCAGTCACGAGTGGTGTCCCTCAGGAGTCTGTATTAGGACCAGTACTGTTTAATATCTTCAACGACATAGACAGATTGAGTGCACCCTCAGCAAGTTTGCACATGACACCGAGCTGAGTAGTGCAGTTGACACGCCTGAGGGATGGGATGCCATCCAGAGGGACCTGGACAAGCTGGAGAAGCACTTGGTTTGTTAAACCTTATCAGGTTCACACAGGCCCACAAGGTCCTGCATCTGGGTTGGGGCAACCCCTGATATCAATACAGGCTGGGGGATGAAGGGATTGAGAACAGCCCTGCGGAGAAAGGCTTGCACGTACTGGTGGATGAAAAGCTGGACATGAGCCGGCAATGTGTGCTCGCACCCCAGAAAGCCGACCATATCCTGGGCTGCATCAAAAGCAGCGTGGCCAGCAGGTCGAGGGAGGTGATTCTGCCCCTCTGCTCTGGTGAGACCTCACCTGGAGTGCTGTGTCCAGCTCTGGGGCCCTCAGCACAGGAAGGACATGGACCTACTGCAGGGGTCCAGAGGAGGGACACAAAGATGATGCGAGGGCGGGAGCACCTCTCCTATGAGGGCAGGCTGAGAGAGTTGGGGTTGTTCAGCCTGGAGAAGAGAAGGCTGCAGGGAGACCTTATTGTGACCTTTCAGTACTTAAAGGGGGCTTATAAGAAAGATGGGGACAGACAGGCCTGTAGTGACAGGACAAAGGGTAATGGCTTTAAACTAAAAGCAGGTGGGTTCAGAGTAGATACAAGGAAGAAATTTTTTACAACGAGGGTGGTAAAACGCTGGCACAGGTTGGCCAGAGAGGTGGCAGATGCCCCATCCCATGAAGGGATTGAGAACAGCCCTGCGGAGAAAGGCTTGCACGTACTGGTGGATGAAAAGCTGGACATGAGCCGGCAATGTGTGCTCGCACCCCAGAAAGCCGACCATATCCTGGGCTGCATCAAAAGCAGCGTGGCCAGCAGGTCGAGGGAGGTGATTCTGCCCCTCTGCTCTGGTGAGACCTCACCTGGAGTGCTGTGTCCAGCTCTGGGGCCCTCAGCACAGGAAGGACATGGACCTACTGCAGGGGTCCAGAGGAGGGACACAAAGATGATGCGAGGGCGGGAGCACCTCTCCTATGAGGGCAGGCTGAGAGAGTTGGGGTTGTTCAGCCTGGAGAAGAGAAGGCTGCAGGGAGACCTTATTGTGACCTTTCAGTACTTAAAGGGGGCTTATAAGAAAGATGGGGACAGACAGGCCTGTAGTGACAGGACAAAGGGTAATGGCTTTAAACTAAAAGCAGGTGGGTTCAGAGTAGATACAAGGAAGAAATTTTTTACAACGAGGGTGGTAAAACGCTGGCACAGGTTGGCCAGAGAGGTGGCAGATGCCCCATCCCTGGAAACATTCAAGGTCAGGTTGGACGGGGCTCTGAGCAACCTGATCTAGTTAAAGCTGTCCCTGCTCCCTGCAGGGGGGTTGGGCTAGATGACCTCTAAAGGTCCCTTCCGACTGAGATAACTATTCTATGATTCTGTATGCTGTTTCATACAGTACTGCTGCAGGGACTTACACGCATATGTTAACAGGCTGGAGCCAACAAAGCTCAATTTCAGTAGTATTTAACATACCAGTACTTTACCATACAGTGACAGCAGAATGTTTGCTTTGGGTTTTTGACTGTATGATGTTTTGTGTGTCCCAGGATCTGTCTTGGGGTTAGACTGGAAATTGAGAGGTGTTGGCCTTTGAGTATCACATAATAGTTCATGTGACTTGGGATGTCATAAATAGTGTGAATTCAGGGGGCTGAACTTTGGTTCTCTGCAGAGAAGCAGCGCACTGAATAGAATCAGGAATGGGAACATGCAAAGTCTTTTCTTTATTTGTGGGTTTTTTATCTAAGGGATTATCTGTGGTTTTTGATTGAATGCTTAGAACTTAGAGTTATGATTTTCTTGATCTCACCAATCAGAGCACAATAACCATTGTCTAGTTAGATATGCTTTGTCAATGCATCAAAGCCAAAACATGTGTCATGAATACTTCCTAATTTTTTTTTCCAAAAATTCCTCAAACCTTGGACTTCTCTTGAACACTTGAATTAGATTCTAAAGAGAATGCTTCTGTTTTTTACCGCTTCTGAAAGCTTTTTATTGTTGGTCAACAGATGCCACAGTTGGAGAAGAAGCTGCAAGAAGAACTTGAATGTAATGCCAGAATCATTGCCTGTCGTTTTCCTTTCCCTCATTGGATTCCAGATCATACTACTGGAGAGGGAATAGACACTGTGTGGGCCTATGATTTGAAACATTCTAGAGGATGTGAAACAAAAAGCTTGGAAATTACACGAGAGATGGAATCCTAAACATCTAATTTGTTTTTGTACTGAAATTTTTGGCTTTGACTTCACCTGTTAAGATTAATGTGAATAGAGCCCCAGGATATGGAGATACATATTCACTAAAATAACTGAAGTACGCTGGTTATCTGAAAGCACGCAAAGGTTAGTGAAAGGTGTAGTTAAATGGGTTAATGTAGTTATAAAACTTTCTCATAATTTTTACTTAGAAGCAGAAAACTTTAATATGGAAAATGGGATAAAACATGGTTCACTACTGTTAAGGGGAATGTATGCGTAAGTTAAAATGTTTAAATTGGTGAACTTAATATGTGCATTCTTTCTGAGCCTACGTAGCATTTGTTATTGGTGTTGGAAGTGGTGTGCAAGTGGCTTCTCAAATGAGCCGTGGTTCCCAAATGTCTCCATTACGTATGCCAAGTAGGCATAGTGCTTCATACATCAAACTGATGTGGATTGAGTGCAATGATGATACCAATGTTTTACAGCTCAGCTTTGAGTGTGTACTTTTTTAAAGTTGAATATGACATAGCAAGCAAATATAACAAGTTGTTTATTCATTAGCACAAGTGCAGCCCTTGATTATATTAATGTATTTTTATTTAACTTGTTATGTGAAGACAAAACTGCAGAGATGTGCCCTTACTGAACACTTATTGATATAAGTCTTTGCAAATGACCATGAGTTTTCCTAACCTCTGTGATTTAGGAAGGGTTTCAAAAGTCACCTACTTGGCAGTGAAGTGTTACCGCTTCTGTGTGCTCAAACCTTGGGTAAGGTGTGGGTGAGAGTTGCTTGCTTGAATGTGTCATGAAGACTGTCTCTGATTCCAGAGCTTGTTGGTCTGGCTAGCTTGGTTAAATCTGATTAGACATCATTTAGTTTATAGTGAGATAGGAAGTGAGGTTTTCAGTCAGGCTTTTTTCCCCTTTACTTTTCTATGCCATCTGATGAGATATCAGAAACTCATGGCATCATTGCATGGCTTTTCCTTGGAAAAAGCAAGTTCTCCCTGTCTTTTTGCTGATACTAGTTTACAGTGGGGTATTGTCAATGCTGTGATATTTTACTTTTCTGACATGGTTACAGCACTTTCCTATTTTATAACAGTCTGCTTACTTGGTCTTTCTTTTGGTTCCCAGGTAAAGTTTTACTGTTTTCACCCATTAACAATTAGTCAGACTTCATAGTTAGACTTCCCTGGCCCCAGTTAACTGTTAAGCAGTGACTATGTAAGTTTGTCAGACCTTTTCATATATGATACCCATAGAACAAAGCTAAAACAGGCTGGGGAATTGTCACCTGGCGTCTAGGCAGTTGTTACTACAACTAAAATTAGCTCACACCAAGAGAAGTGCTGAGACCCTGCAGTTTCAGGTAAATGCAAAGCCTGTGAGATTTTATTAGGTGTTGGGAAAGCACGTTTGCTGGACTATAGTATCTGACTGGAAGAGAAGTTAGATGTTATTTGGATGTGTAGCCTATAGTTACACCTGTACCCAAGCTTTTTATTTTTGGTGGGAGGGGAGGAGGAAGGAGAGTTTAAAATACAAATCTATACTGAGGATTTGAAATGGAGCAGTAGAATGGTTTTGTCCTGATGATGTATACAAAGAAGGAGAAGGAAAGGGCAAATGTATCTGCTCTGGAGTCTGCAAAGGAGAGATGATTTCAGCCTTGAATGGCAAGGCACAGCTGTAAATGTGGAGACTCTGTGTCCAGAAGAACACTGATTTCTGGTAAGCAGTCTTTTACAGCCTTTCACTGTGGTGTAACCTAGTGCATCTTCTGAAACTACACTAAACTCTTTCTACCATGATTTAAGTGTTAATGATTATTACACAGTGGCAGGACAGGGCTACAGTGGTTATCTGAAATGGCTGAATTTACTTTAATATCCCAAGGCCATAAAACTGGAAGCTCAGACAAAGGAAATCTGGAATTATTTCTATTGGAAAAAGACCATATGAAGGGGAAATTTAGCTAATTAAGCAGAGTCCTTCCCATAATGATTATAAAGGAGAAGAGGAGGCAAAAGATTTTGATCAAGTGAATTGTGACTCATCTGCAGTGTAGTGCTTTGACCCAAGTTTCTACTGCCTACTTTCACCAAAGTTAGCTTGCAGGCAATGAAGTAGATACTTATTTTCTTCTGCTGTGTTTAACTGTATATTTGTCTATTGTATTATCGTTTGCCTGTTAAAAGGTAAAACTGAATTTCTCAATTCTGCCTGTGGTAAAGGCTTTGGGGCTTGTATGTCTTAGTTACCACCTATTGCTCCAGAAGTATTTGTTGAGGAGGGAGAGATAGAATTAATGATGTGATGGCCTGAGCTTTAGGAGCCCTAAGTGCTGTCCTCAAGGCAAGTAGAGATTTATGAATGCTTTTAAAGTAAAGCAGAGTGCTGTTTCTTGCTCTGGCCATTTACTTTTGGGAGACTACACTGAGATAGACAGTGGTCTGAAGGTTCAGAATTCCTTGTTACATAAGGAGATGTGCTGTATTTCCTCTTTCCATGGCTGAAGAATGAAATGGAAAGCAAATTGCTCTAATTTACACCGGGGAACTAGGAAAGCATTTTCTTGTCATGTTGTCCTCAATTTTTCTATCACTTGCTATGTTCATTTGATAGTTTACAAGATTAAATACTTAACTGTGACTTCAGTTATCACTGTATGATTATGTTGATACACTTCCAATTGCTAGGGTAATGTGTTGTGATTTCATTGATACCTACTTCAGAGTACAAATTTGTTTCTTCTGAAAACCAGGAAAGCCTTAGAGAACTGGCTTAATAAAATTATAGTGTAGGTTTGAAGCCAAAAGGAGGAATTGTTCAAGCTACACATGCTGTTCAATATCAAAGTAATTCAGATACCCAGAAAAACCTATAGTTTATCTTTGTTTACATCTTTTAGTAGAATCACTTGCCTTTTGGGGGTTACTTGTTTTTTTTACTTCCTTACCCTGCCAGATCTTAGCAAAAAAGTTGCTACATTGCTGAATGAGTAATGTTTTCCTGAAACATTGTAGAATTTGATCTGTTTGAAAAGAATACAGGTCAGAGTTCTTCAGGAGTCAGACTTTCAAATTTTTTCTTTGTTTTTTTTGCTGCATTGAGACACATTATGTCCCCATAGGCTTTGTGATGCAAGATCAGTTGTACCAATGCAATGTCTAGTGCTACAATTCTAATTCTGTAGTTTTCTATTTTGCATGAATTGGCTTTCTAGGGAGAAGAGGGGTATAGCTAGAAGAGAGCCATGTGATATGTGGGTTGCTCAGTATACTGCACAGTCACTACAGCTACACAGCAATGTCAACCAAGCTTGTCCAGATTTGTTTGTGAAATGTGCACATACTTTGTGAGCTTTAGGCATTTCTGTATTACTGGGTGTATTGAAGTTCTTGACTTATCCTCTGGTCTGATTATATGCTGCCACTTAATCTAATATTGCTCCAAGGAAGTTAATCCTCTGTCTCTGAGCTGCTGTTTATTTCTGACTCATGAGTTGTAGCCAGGTAAGAAGGTACAGAATCAAGTTTAAATTAAACTACTGCATTTCACAAGCCAGTTGAATGAGTATGGTCTGTGGGAAAAAAGTTCCAAAGCCCAGCCTTTGGGAAAGTCTGTTACCTTTAATGAAGGAAATAGCTCAGGAGGTGACAGATCTCCTGAATTCTGCATACATTTTTTTAAGAAAGGCTTGAGCTTTGCTTTTCTCATGTGTGTGTTCTTTAAAAATTTTTACCGCTGTAATACCATTCTAAGATCTACAGGGGAAGTAAGCAGAGGTAGCATGCATTTTGTTTATATTTTGAGCTATGGGAGCAAAGGAGTGTTATGGCCCAAGTATAGCAGTTTGAACTATTTCAAAAGCAGTTTGACAGACTTGCACATCAGCTGTGTGTATTTCTCATTGGATAGGAGCATCCATACTAAGAATGGGCTGTGATGAACATTCACTCAGAAATGGCTCATGTCTGATACCATTAACTTGAATGAACACTAATTATTGATAGATCACCTCATACTTCTGTGGTTTCACTTTTCATGATGGTTTACAAATACTGAAGCATTTCTTCAAGAAAGGACATGAATCCTTCAGATTCATGGTTGAAGAGGGCAGCCTAACATCAGATGTAATGCCAGTAAATTCTGCTGAGTTATTTTTCTTTTATATTTGCCAAGTTTGCAGTTCCCTAGTTTTACATCACAGTCCCAACTTCTTTTTCAGAAGTAACGTGTTTCTTCTAGAAGACTTCTTGAGTTCTTGATAAGATAGTGTGGGATCTATGTTTAACTTAAAAATCACCCTTGAGTGAGATAGCTGCAGAGTTAATATTTTCAGTATTTTTCTTTGTATGATAATCTTTCTATTCATCCTTGTATGCTTTACTGAGGGAGACTTATACATGGATAGTTACCATTTTTTTTCTTCATTCTTCTTCTGAATTCTCCCTCTTATTTCAGTTCTTGCTTTTATTTTTCATATTGTCTTTTTACAATTTGACTGTTTGACTTCATAAATTCATCAGATCTTCCCATTTCCTTTAATTTTTTTTTTCTGTAAACTAGTTGCCTTTTTTTCCCAGCAACTTCGCAGGAAGACTAAATATGTTAAGGAATGTCCCTTTTCTCTCTAACATTTTAACATGTATTTAACTAACCTCCTTGATTTATTTAGCAGTCTGTATGCTGACATAGCATGAGTTTTGTTTCCAGTAAATGAAAGAAAAACACATCCACCCATATGGTATTTATACTGAAAAATAGCCTCAGTCTACAACAATTCTGACTATTTAGTAGTTTTAAGTACTTAATTTCACATTTTTATTGTATTTCATCACTTGGCAAATGAATACAGGCCTTTTATCCATTCAGTAGTTCTTTGGATTTGGGTTATTTGTTCAGGTGGGACTTTTGCTGATTTCTTTTTCATAGTATAATGTTGGGGTTTCTATTAGAGGCTTTGGTTGAAATGTTGGACTGATGTTTTTCCT